ACATACTCGAATAACCTTCAAGGAACGATGCCTTTGATCTGCATTGTTCGTTTTGTATAGAACCGAACTGATACCCATGAAGAAACAATGAAGAAGTTTCAAAAGGTTCGTAGATACCGCCGCCGATGTAAGTAGGACCTTCCGGTATGTGCTCCAGCCTCTGTAGCCCCATAGTAGCTAAATGCGGACTTTATAGAACTTGATTGTTCCGTTGCTGAAGACCGCCGAACTTGCGATGTCCCGAATGACAACATGTTCAATTCCTAACCAGCTGGCCTATGCTGCCATCTTACCTCAACATTCTCCTCAACACAGGAGCTGCACGAAGATCAATCAGCGTGCTGTTCTTTAGCGTGTTCGTTCACGAATAGGACACTGTTTTGTAGTGTCATACATACATTTAATACGAGTGGTCCATTTCGTGCGTTGCTCGTCATGCATCAATGTACACCCTAACTAACGCTTCCACTTTCTCTCTGCAGTATCGCGGTCTCGTCGCATTCTACTACACAGCTTGGACCTAAGCACGTGGGTGCATCAAGGAGGCTCACTTTGCTATGCAAATATGACTTCCCGACTCCATCGTCGTCCATCGCAATGCCGAACTTAGTCAAACCCGCCATGCAAACGGAGCCTTCATTATCGATCCTACAAACCTGATGCATAATGCGCTCGCTTTGTGCATTACAAACGAGCTCCTTAAAGGCTCCACAACGTGGTCCATGTTGACCATCAGGCTGAGGTTGCCTCGAGATCCCCTCCAGCATCTTATCGCACAGAGCTTACTGAAACAGTTTCGGCTCCGGCGGCTGCAAATTGTTGATCCTGGCTAGCTTATACTATACTATATTGACTTCAGCACGACGTATCATATCGTGTTGTTACGAACCTCGACGCAATTTCCTGTACGCGGCAACAGGCGAATATCCTCCCGACACATATATTCTCCTGAAATTCTGCTCGGGATACCATGGACATCATGCACATTGCTGTATTCGGCCTCGCTTCAGGAATAGGAACAGTTGATATGCAGGATCTCCTTGTCTAATCGCGGACACGAGCATACCTACGGTCAAGAGACGACATACTTTATCGTTGTCACGGCCGACTATTTCCTCTCAGGCGTCACAAGAAGTTCCTTTGCGATGGTTCAAGCTCGCTGCCAAGCCGACAAATGCGTGCCGGCAACTGAACATACCCATGCACCCTACCAGTCGTTCCTACCAGCCCTAGGTCGATGACACGCAATCAGCAAAGCCTTCGCATTTGGTCCATTTCGCGACATTAGCTTATACTCAGAGTTAGCTACAGTGCGCAACATCAATCTGATCAAGCTCAGAGATGATGTCTTCAAGGCCTTCGAGACCAGCCGATCCATCAACGTCATCTTCATGCCTATGTCATCTTATCGAACTTTCACGCCACACGATGCTCCATCATCTTTGTCGGCATTTTACTGGCGCGATATGGATCTAGTGCAACCAACTGCCGTCTCCATATGGCTTCCACCACCTCACATACAACGACCTTGACTGACCTCTCTCAAAGCAACGACACATCGATACTCCAAGCTGTCCAGCGGTCTCGGCTTCCAATCGCTTCTTTCGTCCCAGCTCTAGTCCAACCAAACCTTGAGGCTCTCTCATCTCAACGATCCATTTAGATACCAAACAACATCTAAACTGTGGATCGTAACCGGCCAGTCAGGATGCCGTTCTTTGGTGGGCCTAGAATTGCACATGGTCGATCATTCAATTCATACATACATTCACGTCGTCCTCCAGAGGAGTCCGTGCAGCCGTCAACCTCTGTCAGCAGTTCGAGTTTCCGCCAAATACGTTTGGGGGCCTCCCTTTGGCCCTTCACCGGGCGCTTGCGGTGTCCGGCGGCCCGGTGCTTCCCGGAAAGGGAAGCTGGGCTAGAATCGAGTCAACTTCCTTCAAGTTTCCTCAGTATTATATGCATCTTTTCAGCTCAGTCCTAATGACAGAACGCACCGTCGGGGAGCTCGTTGTCACGGCGGCTTCAATTCTCTATCGAGCCATGGATTTCGTTCGTGATGGTTCAAATGACTACCAGTGTGGACCGGCGAATTATGAGTCTACCTACCACGTTTATGTACCGCTTATTCGATCTCCACGCCGTCGCCGCCGCCGCCTCATCCTTTCATCGACTTTGGCTTCTGGTTGGACAACGGCGTGGACACAATTAATCTATGGTGTTATAATCGCGGCAGGAATGGAAAACAGCTCCTTGATGCGTCGAATCCTCGTCAGTAACATCTGCGTCACATCAGATCATGCTTCGTCTTCGGCGCAATGTACATTCAACAGTAGCTTGTTCCATCGTCTTCCGAATCATTATCAGATACTCAACTTTCTCATCGACGACATCTTCACCCACAGCAAAACTTATATTCCTCAAACTCTCCATATCCGAGGAAACTCTTCCAAACCCCTTGCTCAAGAATATTCCCTGAACCTTCTTCAGTACCCCAGCTCGTAATATCATCTAATATCATCTGTAACGCAAATAAACAGTACTTACGGAGAGCGAGATGGGAGTAGTGGAAACGTGATAGAGCTAGATTGCCTAATAGATCATGAGTTAATAAACTTCTCTCCATCCATAACGCCATAATACTGAATCGATCATATCGCCCATTATGTATAAATTTGGAAAGCCACTAGTAGTACCCCATAAACCACGGAGTTCACCCTCTCAGGCTCTGTCAAGCCCATACGGGCTTCCGCTTATTTCCTAGGAAATCAGTCTTCCCGCGTGACTTGATGTTGGTGTTGATTTTTAGGGAAGAGATGGACGGCATTGATGCTCCTGAGGAAAGAAAGAACGGTAGATGTGATTAATTACTTGTGGTAACCGTTCGGTCAGGGTGGGCGCTTGACCGAGAGGTTGACGCTCGAACGACTCGGACGAAAGATTCCTTAGTCTCAATAGTCAGTTAAAAGACGAATATATGCAAATATTTGGGCTGATATCGGAGGAGGGAAATAATTATATGAGTAGTTAAATTGGTTGGTGTTCTCTGTCTTACCCCCGTGTTCAGGCTGAATGACGCGTATGTGCGAGGTCCTCATTCACACTTCTGCAACTGGCTTGGCTCGGCTTCTATAGCTGTATATTCACCTAGTAGGTTCTATTCAGTGCTCAGGTCACTATATTCAATATCAGGCTTCGCATCCTTATATATATTCTAGCATACACCCGATTACCACATTACTAGTACTCAGCCCTCCACTGTGTAGCTACTACTATTAGTCGACAACCTTGAGTTCATCCCCGAATATTTGAGCTAAAATCGCAAAACGCATATGAACATTTCACTGATATTACTTCAAATTACCTCAGGTTACCCATATGACGAAACATGTCATCGTGGACGATTCGACCACCATATGGCTAGGGGGCCTAGTATCCAACGTTATCTCGCAGCACCGCCATACAGCTAGAATATTACTCTTTTCGATGTATGAACCTTGATAAACCACAAATTAGTTACCTTAAAGAGTATAGCATGCGTAGGGAGGAACCATCAGCAGGCACAGTATAAATTCGAAGAAAAGGAGACGCGTCACCCAGGTTGACACGTCCTCTTCAATCCTAACCATGAACTCCATCGTCTCTCGCTATACTTCGAACGCAGAACTCACCAATCTCGAGACTGACGGGTTGGAAAGTGAGGTATCCAGTAACTCTTGGGGCTCCGCCGCAGGCTTTGGGAACCTTGATGCTAGAGGTCTCCAGCACTTCGATGTGCCCGCGGTACAAGAGGTCTGTATCGCCACACAATAATTCCTACAATCACTGACTACACGTTACATTTTATAGCCTACTGAATTCCTTAAATTACATACCGACGATCACGCCGACTCATCGTGCAAAATAAAGATCAAGCACGGGACTACAACGCTCGCCTTTCGGTTCCAAGGCGGCATAATCGTCGCGGTCGATTCTCGCGCATCTATGAGGTCGTTTATAGGTATGCGTGCTTCCACATTCTTCATCCTTTAGACTCTTTTGTAATGAGTTTTTTTTTTCAGCTTCCTGCACCGTTAAGAAGGTTATTGAAATCAACAAACATTTACTGGGTACGATGGCAGGTGGTGCCGGTAAGTCATCCCTAGACTTTCGATGGGGATAACGTTGTGTTGATAATAACTAAATGAATGTTAAGCTGACTGTCAATACTGGGAGACGTACTTGGGTATGCATTGTCGTCTCCATGAGTTACGAAACGGCGAAAGGATCTCCGTGGTTGCTGCCAGTAATACCTGAGCAACCTTGTGTATAGCTACAAGGGTATGGGTCTCAGTATGGTAAGCAACTCGCTCTCGCTTTCTCATGCATATCACACTGACTGAGTTCTATTGATAGGGAACTATGTTCTGCGGCTGGGATAAAACTGTAAGTCAAGTTATTCACTGTTCAGACTTTTTGGTAACTAACTTCATGTCATTCAGGGAGCACCTCTATATTACGTCGACGCAGACGGAACCCGGCTCAAAGGCGATGTTTTCTCAGTTGGATCTGGTAGCACCTTCGTCTATGGCGTGTTGGATCAAGGCTACCGCTGGGATCTCACCGATGAAGAGGCGCAAGACTTAGGAAGGCGTAGTATATATGCAGCTGGTCACCGTGATGCGTATTCGGGAAACTCGTGCAATCTTTATCAGGTTAAGGAAGATGGATGGGAATTTATTGGTATGTTTCAGCTTATTTGATTATTATTATTTTTAGCTTATCCGACGTCTTTAGGTAATTATGATTTGTCGAAGCTGCATTTTGAGGGGCCTGGAGGTGAAATGAGCAAGGGTTATGGATATGAAGAGAGGATAAAGAAATCAGACAGGAGTGTTTGAACAGGTCATCTATTTTCATTCTGAATTGTGTAGTGAAATTTATTTATTTATAAAGGCCGAAAATACTGCAGTTAATACATATATGCGCCAAAATATTTCAGTTGAACTTGAACAAAAGAATGCCTTAAGCAAGAACCGAACTCGCGACTAATAGATGGTAAAGACTAAGGTTACCACTAACCCATTAATGCCTCGTAATAAAGGGCAGCCCATGTCATTGAGACGGGGGCTACTTATACATCAGACATGGGAGATTGCAATGAAAGCTTACGTCGGCTGACTATGCGAACGCCGTGAATCCGACTGAGGCCCGACAGTGACAGCTTTTGCTCCAATGTTCTTAATATGCAATCACACACCACATGATATAGAGCTACAGCTTTCTTTTCGCACATAATACAACTCAAGGTGGCGGGTTTCGCAATCACTGTTAACCGGAGTCTTTTCGGATGGCTGGTATGTCACCCTTCATACTAAAGTTAGGCTTCTGCCTTGAACGAAACCGAAGATAAATAATTGAAAATATTAGATCGAAGCGCAAATATTTACATCCCAATGCGAGAGACTGGGAGGAGTATCTTAATAAAATTCAAGGGTAGATTATTAATATTCGCAGTCGAAGACTGAATGATGAGGTGTTAAACATTTCGAATATATATTTTCACCGATAGTGTACCCTGACCGTTTGAATTATCTGAATCATACATGGATGTGTCATTATATATAGAGGCAGAGGATGTTTATAAGTAATTTTTAAGACTATAGAAGATTTCTTTCTTGAGAGGATGCGGAGTTTGGGCGGAGAGTGCCGATTAATCGTTGCAGCGGCTATACTAAGTATAACTAAATATAAGAAGGCGATGGATGAGTCTTCACCCTGCCAGACTGTGCCTCTGGATTCCAGGGCTTGTTTTATCCTACTCCTTGAATGGAACACTTTCTCCTCATGGTATTGGTAACACAAGGAAGGACTTGGTGGCAGAATCATCCCAAGTAGCAAGATGGAAGTTATCAACCGAATGCAAACAGGGCTTTATGCGCGGAGTAAGGACATCCCGACTGATTGCTGTTAAAGTGCCGAAACTTTCCCATGAGCAACGATTCTAGATGGCATAGTTGGCAATAGCCTTCTGTGCTTCTGTGCTTCTGCCAATGACAGAGGTTTGTCCCTATCTACCTCCGGACCCTTCGTGTCTTCAATATTCCCAATCGACCTTGAATTTCATAAATGACGCGCTTTTGCTTCCACTTGCTTTTTCCCATCAATGGCAGGCTTTCAATGGCGCTTGTTATTTTCCGGTGGAGGTAGGTCCGTGTGGAAAATTCTGAATCCTTATCTTCAAGGTTTTTATAATTGACAGCCTGTTCAAGAGCAAACGCACGGATCCTCGCGTTCCGAATAGGACATAGTTCGGGTGAAGGAAAATATATAATGAAACCTATAATATTATCACCAGCGGCTACTATTCATGGTTACAATATGTCTCAAACCTCACTCAGTAAAATCTCTGAAGAACGCAAGGAGGAGTCCATCGATACAGAACAGATCCTAGCAAACGTCCTGCCCTCTGAGGTAGCTGTGGAGCCATGTTATCCAGTTTATCCTATGGGTTCAACTCGGGCGTGGTGTACTGGTAAGATCGCCGTAAACCTACATTATCATCCACGCTATAGCTGATTATTTGCCAGTTGCTGGATGTTTCTTGCTGCAACTCTGCTCTCTTGGAATCGTAAGTAATATATCTCATGGCTTGGCTGCATCGGGTCAGTAAATAATCCCTAAAGGTTACTTCGGTTGGAGTCTTTCAAGAATTCTACATCAATACATGGTTGAATCATTTTACTCCGTCCGAAATTGGATGGATTGCGGGTATGGCATTATCATTCACATTCAGTCTAGGGATCATCGGTGGAAAGCTGTCAGTTTTAGCCACTTTCCGTTTTAACTTCACTTATTCCTTCAATAGGTATGATGTCGGATATGGCAGAGTCACTTTAATCGGAGGATCGGTCCTATTTTCCTTCAGGCAAGTTGATCTTTGTGTTCAGATTCAAAATATGTGTCGACGCTTCCTTAGCCTGTTCATGCTTTCTTTGACGCAACCAAATAAATATTATCAAGTAAATACCCATCTCTATGATATTTTGAATCTGTAATCTATTTCTCATTATAGGTATTTCTTTCACATGCACTCGGAATTGGGTTTGGATCCTCACTGATTCTCACTCCGACAACCATTGTGGTTGCTCATCACTTTCAATCCCGCAAGGCAGTACCTTTGGTAAATGTTTTCGCAATAATCTCCTCTCAAGATAATCTGATAAATGATGAAGGGAATATTGGGTGCCAGTGGCTCCCTTGGCGTAATTATTTATTCAAGTATGTTTCTGCATTTTGTTCATATATGTTGCTGAGCCGGTTACCTCTCACTGTCCGCAGTCATGCTAAACCAACTCATCCACTTTAAAACTGGATTTCCTTGGGCAATTCGCATAGCGGCATTTATCAGTACTGGTGGCTTCATCCTAGGAAATATTTTAATAAGTGTTCCTCCCCTTCCACCAAGGCCTCAGGAGACAAAGTCCTCCAATCACAAAGAATATATGAATTGGTCTTTAGTCCTCACTATGATAGGGAGCGGCTTCCTTGCGCAGCTGGGATTATATTTCCCTCTATCATATGGTCAACTATTCGCCCTGCGTCATGGAATTTCTCCACAAGTTGCCTTCTATTCAATCGCGATGACTGAATTCGCTGGAATTATTGGGAAAATATTTCCAAATTATTTATCAGATCTGTATGGTCCCGTCAACGTGATGATTGCGTGCCTTACATGTGCAGGTATACACAATTACATCTATTCAAGTTAATATATCATCTCATAAATCTCCAGGAATCATGGGAATCGCATTGCTAGGATGCGGTAACCTTGTTGGATTCATTATATTCTGTATTTTGTAAGTTCTTACTCTTACCTCAGCTCTATATTCTTATCTAACTTACCCACTCTAATACTAATAGATATGGATTCTTCATTGAATCATGTAAGGGTATTTACGTTCGAAGCAATCCTGTTTTAATCGCTGTGTTTATTAGGCATCTCTCTCTACCTGTTAACCATTCTGACAATGGCTCCACGGCAAGAAGACCTGGGGTATGTATATGCTCAAAACCTGTCCAGCCTGAACGACGCTTACATCGTATTCAGAAAGGCTTTGGGGATTTCATCCATTCCCGTAGGACTATCTTCTGTTCTTGCCAACCCGGTTCTCGGTGCAATTCTAGGCAATAGGATACTGGTTTGGTGGAAGGGAATTACTTTTGCTGCGGTGCGTCATATACTTTGTTTTTTATAATGGGGATATATGTATTAATATTTCCGTAGACCTGTATCTTCTCTGGGATTTTTATACAGCTTATTGGACGTTATATCTATCTTAGAAATACCAGAAAGTCCGGTGGATCAAACACGTGGAAGCTTTAAAAGTGAAGTGCGCCGCCGTTGACATTCTGGTATCAATTCGGGGACGGTGTAAATTGAGATCCCCAAATGTCTATACGCGTTGTATAAGTACTAGTGTGATCTGCACTGACAGTCGTATTGAAATTTAATTCCGATACTCACTCTTATTGAAACCAAGTACTTCAATTTAATATCCGAGCGATTTGAGTTACCAAGGGTTATGGACTGGAGCAGATACCGGCAAATCCTGAGGCCGACCTAACACAGCTGAAACTATAGAGACCTTGGTAATTATGTTCATACTTAATTACGAGTTTCACCATAAACCCATCGAGATCGACACTAAGATTTTTGTTTGAACATCAAATATTCCCTTGCCTGTAACAGACAGCGTTTCATTGGAAGCTGTTTTATCGTCAACTGCTCGGGAGGTTTCGTCTGCTGACACATTAGCCACGCCAGGAGTTCGAGACGCGTTCCCTTTATGGACCTATGGGGACCCACTCTTGCCCATGAACGTGACGAGTCCTTGCCCCTCTTCAAGTTTGCAATCTGAGCGGCAACATGTCAAGAATTGGTGATCTCGGAGAAAGCCGAGTTGAAGAACTGTATAGCCGCGGAGGCAATTTTTGTAGTTCCTTACGTGTTTACCTAGACCTAACCGCTACCTGGTCGAATATTCACGCATTCTATTATCGAACTGAGGCTACTTAATATCCCTGAAGATCATCATTTTGCGACACAACACCGGGAACGAAGGAGCGGATACCTTGACCGATGAGGGAGCACATACAGAGACATCAACTTCCCCAATTCTTAACACAAACTCGCTCCTATTGCACAACGGACTTCGGCTACCAACCGCCCTACTATCTAAAAGAAACACAATCCACGCAAAACAGCGAGCATCACCATCGAAATCATCCAATATTGCCTGGAAGAGGAGTTCGGCGAACATCCCATTGAAAGCCGCATATAGAACTCACTAAAAAACAAAGACATAGGCCGAAATATCCACGAGTTTATGTGGAAGGCCACGCACGGGATACATAAGCTAGGATCATACTGGCTGAACATCCCCGACCTTGAAGAATATGCACTGTGCCCAGTGTGCCTAACAACGGAATCGATGGACCATGTCCTCACTGAATGCACTGAAACTGGTCAATTCACAGTTTGGAAATTAGCGAAGCGTATCTGGTAACGCACAGGTCATGAATGGCCAGAACCCTCTCTGGGTGTAATCCTAGGATGCGCAGCCGCATCCTTCAAAACGGACACCGGAAAACCGGATAGCGGAGACGATCGCCTCTTCCGTATACTCGTCTCCGAAAGCGCTCACCTCATATGGAAAATGCGGTGTGAGTGGCGCATAAGTAATGAAAGCCAGCTTGAAAAACGCGTCTCTCCCAATTAAGAGGTCTAATGCTGGTATAACACCATAAGCCAGAGAACTATTCAGGGTGTTCTCTCCGCAAATGTAGCGTGGTACGGAAAAAAGGCTATAAAGGAGATAGTTGACTCCACCTGGGAGAAGCTCCTCAGCCTAGAAGACTTCTGGCAATGGAACCTTCATGAGGTTGTCGAGTTTTTAGTGGGTATTCCCCCGGGCCAACCCCCGGGGGTAGCAGGAGCCTAGTGAGTCCCACACTGTTGCAGATGCAATGTTAGTGAGTAAAAGCATTCTCTCGGCATGGACATAAGAATTCCATCGGAGTCAAACTACA